TATTTATTTATTTCACAAACCAAAAAAACCCTGCCAAGTCAAACATGTGGAGCTACCTGCTGTGGTGACCTCCCATGAAACAGGGAGCAGTTAAAAATAGCTTTCTTCTGTACTGATCAATTTGAAGGAACAAGAAAAGTCAGCGTCTTCCATGCAAGCTGCAGGTGACTGCCGCTATCTGTGAGTGACCAAAGCAGTCACAAAGAGGTTTATGATGCAGCACTGTATACTAATTTTTACTTAGCAGCAGTAAATAACCTCACAACTGGTCAGGGAATGCACATTTTTGATGACCATTGCTTAATAGTGCAGTTGCCAGATGCTCTAGGCCTGTGGGACAAAAACGTTTTGGAGAAAACAGATGGAATTGCATATCCAGTATGTGAAAAGGCCTTTGTTTTTGAGCATTTTTACTCATTTTTGAAGAGCCACAGAAAACTGTGTGTTATGATCATATAAACGCTGAACCTACCAAAATGAAGAACAGACTCTCTTCTTTCATCCAAAAAAAAAAAGCTTGTTTCTACCATTTTCCATTCTTTAGTTATCCGCTGTAGAAGAGAGGTGGGTTCCACCAAAAATGCCTGTTTTGACCAAAAAAAGGGAGAAAACGAGCTTTTTGTGAAAAATACATTTCAAGCAGAAAAGTGCCTTTGACACTAATATTTCTTGCTTTGTGACACCTCTAACATATAAAATAGTTTTTCACTTCTATAAAACAGAAATAACACTGAGAAAGGTTATGTTTTATCAAAACAATTCATTTACAAATATATGAAAAAATAAAATGTACATAGTGAAACATTTATTCACAATGAATAATTCACTTTTGTGTGGTAATCATTATAACACTTTCCGGGATGCAAGGGCACACAACAAGACTTGCACCACATTTTTGTCTCACTGCGCAATCCCTTACGTGCGCAAACCCTGCACCTCCTTGCAGGTCTACTTTTACTGCTGGTGGGCTTCAGTTTTTCAAGTTGGTGCCTGCCTAGGTCACCGTCTAGCCTGCTATCAGGGTCGGTGTTGTAAGGTGCCCTTGGGGTTTTTCTGCCTTTCCAGTCACCTTCCCCTTCAAATCCCACACCTGCCCCCTCCCATTGAAAAACGTAATTGACGTCTATAGACGTCAATGGCAGTCAACGTAAGTTTTTCAATTGACGTCTATAGACGTCAATGGCAGTGAATGAGTTACGTCAGATTAAGAAAAAGAAATCGTCATTGTTCAGATTTGATATCCAGCTCACACACTGAAAAATTAGGAGCGGTATCAGTATCAATGTATTCTACATCCAAAAACACTGAACTCAGGAAGTTAATCCTCACCAGCAAGAGTTTTTACGTATTCTAGTTCTGGATGTCAGACTCTGTAGTTTTCTCTGGTCCCCTCCTCATGTTTAACTGCATGCTCTCCTTAAATTGCTGTCTGTCTGAGTGGTGTCCAGAAAACGATGTGGGCTTTATAATTAATTGGGAAACTTTCTGAAGGATACCTGGTCTTATTAGGAGAGACTGCATCCATCCCACTCTGAATGGAGCAGCACATTCATTGAAATATGGCCAAATCGGCTGGTCGTGCACCTCTCCGGTGAGCGAAGCAACCATTGCGGCGGGTATACTGGGGCCTTAAATCAGCAAGGTGTGTGTGTGTGTGTGTGTGTTTGGTCAAGCAGCAGGATTGTTTCTTTGTTTGATGACACTCTATTTGCTCTAGACTGTTGCAGCCTCTCAAGCAGTTGCTTAGTTGTCCTTCTCCCTGGTAATATAGTTTTTGAAGAAGTACTAGCAACTTAATGCATCTCATGAGAGCGAAAAGCGTGGCTTACAGCTTTCCACAAGCATCTGCTCCCAGATTTACAGACAAACGCACTTAATGAGTGTGTCTTGATCAGACAATGGAGTAGGAAGGTAATCTCTCACGAGTGGCAGTTGTTGCCTTCTTGCTCACACAGGGAGGAGGCTCACCGCTTTGGGTGGAAGCTTGGAGAGCCGTTTCTTCACACCACCTTTATTAGCTTGCCGTGTGAAAGATTTGGGACCTGCTTCCTGGAGGAGTGTGTGTCAACTATGTTCCTCCATTACAAACATGTGGCGAGAAATCCCACAGCCTTTGTACCTCAGGCGCTGTGTATATGCTAAAGCTGAAGAGAAGGATGTCACATCACTCTGTGGAGATATAAGAACATGTGATGTCTCTGTGAATGTCAGACTGAACTGATCTGCTCCTTTGAAATTCACCTCCACTCACTTATGGAATATTTCCATAAGTTACTGATAAGACCTTAACTGGTTTCAGGGTGGCTGTTTTTCGTTTGTTGTATCTGTCACCTTTAGGAATGTGCTTGGCTGTTGTTGGTGTGTCGATAAACCTACTTGAACCCTTGCTGGAACTATTTAAGCATCACGTGTGAGAAGTAAAGATCGTTAGGTTTGGCATCACTAATTAGAATTTGCTCAGGAAATGTAAATTTAAACAGTTTATATTCCAGTTGTAAATAGACTTAAGTGGATAGATTGTAACATTAAGGCTACAAAAAGACTTTTATTAAAGCTGTTGTACTTTTGATATGTTTAATGCTCTGCATCTTGTTCTATTTAATCTGAACAAGCCCCTAAAAACAGTCAGTGATCACTGTCGCCCTCTCTCGGTTTTTATTACCACTGTTCATTTTAAAGCTCAGTTTTTACCCTTGGGCAACTACAGCCCAGCCCACGCAGCAGTATGTTAACCTCCTAAGACCCGAACTCTTTCATGGCATGCATTTTTAATTTTTCTCTGCTATTTGGGTTGATTGGGACCCGATGAATGTAAAAACAAAGAATTACCAGATTTTTATTTTGTTTTTGTTTTTTTACCTGATTTTTGTTTCTGACAAAAACAAGATCCACATTTCCTCGGAGGGGGCTTTCTGCACCGGGGCTGTGCTGCTGGGGCTCTGTGGGACTTCTCAGCCTGGCTGGGGGCCTTCTTTGCCTCCCTCCTGCTGTGTGCCCAGCCTGGAGGCTGCGGTCTGTGACCGGCTCCCGGTGCAGATGGCTCCCTGTGATAGTGTTTCCTCACCTGGCTCATGTGTGCCCAGCCCAATTTTACTCTTTAAATGTGAGTGTGTGTGTGCGTGTGTGTGTGTGTGTGCGGGGGGGGGGGGGGTGTATGTATCCATGATCGTTTATGTTAATGAGAGTGTGGGGAGTGAGTTGGAGGGCGGGGTGGGGTGGGCTGCTTTTAACCATGTAAAGCACTTTGTGCTACATCTTTGTATGAAAAGTGCTTTATAAATAAAGATTGATTGAGTGATATGAGGACATTCGCTTTAAATTTTGATAGAACAGTGGCAGTATAATGTCCTCATAAGTGGATATCAGGCCCTTGTAGAGCAAAATTTAGTATTTTGGTCTAAACAACCCAAAATGTGATGTCCACATATGTGGACGCCAGGTCCTAGGAGGTAATGACTAACCTCGTATTGTGGATGGATTATCTCAGTTGTTCTCCTGACTGAAGTTTGGTCCGTTTACAGCATCCTGCCATGCGATTGCATTTGTCCCTAACCATTGGAAACCCTCACGTTAACTTTTATCGAGTGGAAAAAAGTTAGCGTTCATCCTCCAGCTTCACTGTTTATGTTATGCTAACATAGCCGTGTCGCTAGCAATCACGTAGCACATCGTTATATAGTAGCTAGCCCAACTTCAGTAACCTTACAAACGTCACTGCTGTTTAGTTTTCTGTCTTCATTCATGTTGGAAATGACAGCAGAGCTGTACGTTTGGATTTTTCAGAAATCTCTGTCAGAACATGCTATATCATGTTTAGGTGGAAGCTAGCGAGCTAACTTCCTGCTAACTTCTAACTCTGTTGTTTTCATGGATGCCTGGATGTTAAACTTAAGTGTTACACCTGGTAAAGCAGCAACGCTGATCATTTTATTAAAGATGAAAGAATTTAGACAGTTTATAACTCTCAGTGATTCTGCAGTGTTCGTTTGACTTTGGGACCTGAAACGGACGGAGTTTAGGACCCAGATTACTCCGCAAGGCTCCTGACTACAACAATTCATCAAACGGTGCGGCTTCGTAGCTTACCAAAGCCATACTAAAACATTTTTGACAGAGGTTTGAGCGCCGTGTAGCACATAAAATCGGTTCGAGGTCAGTAAGCACAACCAGAATTCATACTTAAGGCGCACTGTCGATTTTTGAGAAAAGTAATGGATTTTAAGTGTGTAAGATACAGAAGAAAAGAATAAATCGCGATATATATCATTACCACACATGCTTCAAATTATACTGCGATATGGATTTTAGGCCATATCGCCCAGGCCTAACACCCAGCCTCATAGAACCCACATAGCAGAGCCATTTTCTCCAGTGTTTTATATATTTCTCATACTCTAAATTCACTAAAAAAGAGTTATCTTTTTCATCTTATAAATCTCTCAAGTTACATCAATCCAGCTGTGTTTAATTGTTGGTGAATCCTGTGTTAGCCATCTTTTGGTCAGTGCCTTTTTACTTGCAGCCAACAGCAGACCAAGTATTTATTCTGCACTCTTTATGTCTGAGGGTGTGTATCCTAAAATATAGATTTGAAATCAAAGGGTAAATATGTGCTAAAGATGTTTTGAATAGCTTTATGAACATCTTTCCAGTATAATGCATCAACTTTGAGGACAAAATGTTCACTTACTTGCTCTAACATTTTCCTTCAAAGCAATCATGTTGTGTTTGAAATTCATGCCACTGTGAAAACTGAGATTCTGTTAAGAATTATAAGACGGTCACCTTATCCACGAACACAGAACCGAATTTACTTCAGGAATTGTCTCAGTAAATCCAAAGATGTGCATGTGTTTTAGACAAGGCTGTCCCCTAACAGTGTCGGTCTTTGAGAAAAATAAAGATATTAAACTTTATTTTTCACTCTCTTAATGATATTTTAAGATTTCTATTTTTTATACTTTGTCCATCTCACAGAGCTGAATTTTTCTCTCTGTTAGGTTGAACATCGTGCTGGGTGGTATGACACCTCTGTATTTCCACATTGTCAACGTGTGTTTGCACTGCACCGTAACCTGCCTGCTGATGCACGTATGCCAGTGCCACGTGTTTGAAAACCGCCGCCTGGCCTTCGTCACGGCGCTCCTCTTCACCGTGCACCCTGTCCACACCGAGGCTGTGAGTATAACCATAAAGTTACAGGCTGCTCGGGGAATATGACAACAGAGTTTCAGTTATCACATGAAACATATTGAACTTGACTGTCCTGGCCCACTAGAACTGGTTTCCACTTCAACATCTCAGACAAAGAGGTTCATTCAAAATGATAAATTTTTCCTCCTCTAAGTTGAAACGTTGACCACAGGATAGTCACAGGATATTTCATTCATTTGAAATGGTAACCAACAGAGCAGTGACTTTTATCTTCTCAAGTCTATCTTCATTAAGCTGCTCCCGCTGCTCGTTTTGTTGCTTTTTGTCACACATTTGTCAGACAGCCATTCCCCTTGTTGCCAGGTTTCAAAAATGAAGGTTTTGATTTTCATGAAGCATCAATCTGTGTCTGTGTTTTCTCCTGTATTTTGGGATGAGATCATATGTCTGGGTGGAGCTGATGGTCTGTGTTCCAGTTAGAAACTGAGTCATTATTGTAGAGACCAAGTTGTCACAGTGGAAAGCTGGACTGAAAGACAGCACAGAGGCACTAATCATGGCAGCACAGGAACAAGCTCTGAGCACAGATCCATAGAGGCTGGGGTCCATCACAGCAGGCAAGACCCCAGGTGCAGGCTGTGTAAAGATGCCCCAGAGACAATCCAGCACATAACAGCAGGGTGGAAGATGCTAGCAGGCAGGGCATACATGGAACGCCATAACCGAGTGGCCGGCATAGTGTACAGGAACATCTGTGTCGAGTATAACCTGGAAGTCCCGAGGTCACAATGGGAGACGCCCCCAAGGGTGGTGGAGAACGACCGAGCTAAGATCCTGTGGGACTTCCACATACAGACGGACAAAATGGTGGTGGCTAACCAACCGGACATAGTGGTGGTAGACAAACAGAAGAAGACGGCTGTAGTGATCGATGTAGGGGTTCCCAATGACAGCAACATCAGGAAGAAGGAACACGAGAAGCTGGAGAAATACCAAGGGCTCAGAGAAGAGCTGGAGAGGATGTGGAGGGTGAAGGTGACGGTGGTCCCCGTGGTAATCGGAGCACTAGGTGCGGTGACTCCCAAGCTAGGCGAGTGGCTCCAGCAGATCCCGGGAACAACATCGGAGATCTCTGTCCAGAAGAGCGCAGTCCTGGGAACAGCTAAGATACTGCAGGACCCTCAAGCTCCCAGGCCTCTGGTAGAGGACCTCAGCTTGAAGGATAGACCGCCCGCAGGGGCAGTTGGAGAATTACTGTATATCTGTTAATGATAATGATATTTCAGTCATTAACAGATTTAGAAAATGACAACCAAAAAATGCTTCTAAAACCAAATGACAACAAACAATTGAAGGAGGTGATGAAATCGCTGACCATCTTGGTATGCAGAGGAAATCAGTGGCCAGGCAATAGTAACTGATTTCTGACTGACTTCTTCACTGAGTATTCATATTTTTTTCACGATATAAACTTGTATGACAAATAGATTGCAATATATGAAAGAAGAAGAAATATTGTTTAATTTATTTAAATTATCTATTCATTTTGTTCATCTAAAATCATCCCTCAAATGGAGCAACTTTTCCCTGTCAGAGCCAAAGGATCAAGGAAAGGAGAAAGAAAGCATTATCAAGCTACGGGGGCAAAGCTTTGAGAAACACAGCAGGGCTCAGGTATCCTGCTATCAGCAGTGTTGGGCAAGTTACTTTGAAAAAGTAATTAATTATAGTCACTAGTTACTTCTTCAAAAAGGTAACTGAGTTAGTAATTGAGTTACAATATTCTAAAAGTAATTAATTACTTGAAAAGTAACTATTGCGTTAGCCTAAACAAAAAAAAAAAGTTTAACCCTCTGGGGTCCAGGGTATAATTGGCCATTTTTAACTACTTTTGATTTTCGTGTCTGAAATTACAGTTAGGTTTTCATTTTGACATACTGTATTAACACAACTGATCTAAAATCAGACAAATTTCAATAAGATGCCACACAAATTATTTGTGCCACTCCAAAAAAATAATTTCTGTCCACTATAAAGGAGAACATCACAGGCTGATACCTGCAGGTCTGACAGCAGCAGGTGTATCACTACTGTTTCTACCTGGAGACAGCAGTCGCCTCATTGTCACAACACTACACATTAACTACACACTCCAAACACGCTAAACGTCACAAATCTCTCACATCTCAAAACTCCTTCTCTCTGTTTTTCTGCTGTCTCTCTCTCTCCTAAAACTTCCCCTGTTTTTTTTTTTAGGGCCCGAGCACCGAGAGTGCGAAGGCCCTATTGTATCTGCTCCGTTTCTTATTATTATTATTATTATTATTATTATTATTATTATTATTATTATTATTATTCACCCCAAACAAGGGCCTTTTTGAGGGCCTAAACATGCTCAAAAACTCATGAAATTTTGCACACATGCCAGGTCTGGTGAAAAATTTTGTATTTTAATGGTTTTACATATGAGCACTGGGAAATGGCTCTAGAGCGCCACCTATGCCTTGTTAAATGCAGCCCTACGACCACATGGTTTGAGCTACATGTATGAAATTTGGCACACATGTGTATCATGCCAAGACGAACAAAAAAGTCTGTGGGCCCATTGACGCAAACCCAACAGGAAGTCCGCCATTTGGAAGAGAAGGTGACATTTTGGCTCTAATTTTGCCATTTCCATGCCTCGAACTTTTGCGAACTCCTCCTTGGGGTTTCATTTCATAACCTTCAAATTTGGACAGTGTCAACTACACCCTTGTGCCATGTTAAATTGCGGAGCTTTTGAGTTTTCACAATACTATGAGGCCGTGGCGCCATGGCGAATTTCGATGACTCGCCATGAAAATCTTATTGCCTCTCATTTTGTCATACATTTTCTGACCTTGACCAAAGTGAACACATATGATAAGGCTCCACCCTAAACATATTTCAACTGCCATATTTGACATGAAGGACAGCGCCACCTAGTGGGAACAGGAAATGTCATGTTTTACACTTTGGGGTACAGTATAGTGATGGGTGACATCTGCAGCCTCAAATTTCTCCAGAAAAGCCTTAAGGAGTTGGTCTTGGGTTACAGTGAAAACTGTGACTTTTCGCAAAAGGGTGTGACCCCAGCAGCATGGCGAACTTTGATGTCACGCCATGAAGAAACAAATTAGTATAACTCCATGAAATCCAGTCTGATCAGTACCAGACTTTACAGGCATGAAGTCAGACCCGCCCTGAACAGATTGATGTGCCCATTGTCGGGAATACGGACAGCGCCACCTAGTGGGAACAGGAAATGTCATGGCTTTAACTTTGTTGTACTGATTTTCACAGGTTCATCGTGGCCACCTCAAAAGCGGTGAATATCACCATCAGTCCCTTGTGATGCTTCAGTGCGAAAATTGTGACTTTAAACTGAACGCCGCACCCTGGTGGCAACGCAGTTCACCATGAAAGATGAAGTGGCTTTTGAGGGGCTTGGAAAGTTTAAAAAGTCTTGAAATTTGGCGCACACCTCCAATGTGGTTAAGGCTTTGTTGTTATGTGATCATTTTCATTGAATATCCCAAAATGGCTCCACAGCGCCCCCTACAAAATTTCAAAATCACAGCCCCTGCTCTGTGTTTTATGTATGAGTCTGAAACCTGGTAAGCTTATAGGAGATATCAAGATGTACAAAAAAGTCTCTTGGAGCAATATCCCAAATCCAACAGGAAGTCAGCCATTTTAAAATTAATGTGCAATTTTGGCAACATTTTCCCCTCTTTTCAGGCATCGTTCTTTGACGAACTCCTCCAAGGGATTTCATCATATTGCACTATTCTTCAGTGTGTGGAATCCAAAGACCTTTGTGTTGTTAAATTGCGAAGCTTTTTACGTTCAGGGAAACGGGGTGGTTATGGCGGCACGTAGACTCTCAATCACTCGCCAAAACGCAGTAATCTGCTGTTACTCAAAAACACAATGTCCAATCTCACCCAAAGGTCGCAGGCATAATGAGACTCGAGTTCGGAAATGTTTGTTATGCCATTTGTACATAATGGTTAGAGTGCCACCTAGTGGAACGACTAGCTAATCATGAATGAATGAGTTGAAATGTTAGCTGGTGGTTAAATGCATGAATTCCATCAATGTGACATCGATCGGACATGCTGGTTTTAGGTGTTGGGCGTGGCTCGACGCGCCGGGGGTGCGAGGGCCCTCATAACGCTGCTTGCAGCTTTAATTTTGTTTTGTTTTTTTGCTCATAAGCAGAGAGTGCTCGCTGCGCTGTCCTTAGACAGTAAACGTGACCAAACTATTGAGGAAAAACACGCGTATATATTTTTTATCATGACTCTGGTTTTACTGGCCTATCAACACAGTTTATACACTGGTATATGTCACCTTGTTGCTTTGTCTTTAAGTGGTCATGTGATTGGCTTACCACGACTACTTTATTCTTCCTCAGTCAAACAGCAGCACTCATGCGATTGTTTTGCCCCCTTAGCTCCAGGTGTTGTTCTAGACAGTGATCGTGATCGCCGTCTGCGGGAGCGCGCAGCCACTTAAAGCTGTAGCGTCCAGATTACTTACAGCTACTTCCTGCAGCTGGTATAAGGTGCGGTAAGCTGAACACAGCTTCAACCGTCTGTTAGTTGAAGAATAGTAACGCAAACGCATTTTCTTGTTAGTAACTGTAACAGCGTTGTAATGATAGGAATAGTAATTAGTTAGATTACTCGTTAATGAAAGAAGTAATGCCGTTATTCCCATCACTGGCTATCAGTCCTCTGAGTTCTTTGTGCCCTCAGCTCAACCTCCATGTGATTCCCAAAGGGCAACATTTCTCCTGATCTGCCTCTGAGAGGTGGTGAGTCAAGTTCTGTAAGCTTACAGTCTACGACTCTTCTCACTCACTTCAACAGGTGAGACAACAACAAAGGGCTCAGACGTTCACTACAGGAGCGCTGCAGAGAAATTGGAGATGGAAGGAGCAGAAGGGGAGGGTAGATGAATGTGTAGCGTGGAAAAAGAGCTGTATAGAAATTGGC